AAACTGTTTTATGCTCACTTATTTCTATCATCTACAGCCAAACTTTAAATATCATATTCCAGAAAAATCACAGCTTTCTCACTAGTACATACCACCACTGTAAATAAAACACAGTATAAGCTAGACTTGAGGTAGCTGAAACAAGGGGTTATTTACCATATCACAGATATCAATTCCCAAGAAAGGTAAGAGAGATCATTATATGAAAATAAACAAGAATATGTAACAAGAAAAGCATTACACCCCTCTGAAAGCTTTTCTAAACTGAACACAATCCTATTGTTTAAGATGTTCTCACACCACTATACCAAACACTTCAGCAAAACACTAAACACTTTGATACACTATAGCAACAAATCACTCTACCACAGCTGACAAATGTAGATGGTTATTCAACCTGAAAAACTAAAACAACCCATGTAGCCCACTGATTCTGTATCACCTCAACTGTTAATTGCTGTGATGCAGAAGACTGAGAGTCTCCTGCTTATTCCTGGGTTACACATCACTTTTTCATGGAAATAAGAAATCTCAACCTTACAAGAGCTGACAGATAGAAAGACACAAGGTTCATTTACAATTCACTTCAGTTCACACTTTTCTTCCTACTGCCCAAACACAGAAAGATGAGCTACCTACTGAGAATTCAAGGAAGGCAGTTTCAAGTGCCAGCCTGACCCATCTTGGCAGAAATTCAACTGGTTGCTGTCAAGTAAAGGGACTACAAGTAAGAAGTCAGCACTGTAAACATATTTTAAGACCGGACTTATTGTTGTATGGTCACCCTCATCTTGTGAAGTCAGTCAGTGTGTTTCCTAGCTTTATGAAGATGTTTGGGTAAAAAAGTGGCGGAGCTTTGAGAATTGAGGGGGTGGATCTCTTGGGATAGAATTCCAGCTTGCAACTGGAAGTGGAAAATATCAAAATGTTATCACAATTGCTTCAAGTACACAGGCTAATTCAAACGCAATTCCAAGATAAGCATGTGTGCACATAACACACCCAGGGAAATGGTTTTCTGACACTACTATGAAACAGGTTTTCACAGCAGCATTAGCACAGATAGAAACTTAGAAAATTCAGTGGTCACAGTTACAAGTCTGGCATCAAAACTAACCACAGGCTCGCTCCTCTCCACATTCTCATCCACAAGGATATCGGTCTCACTCAAAAGGCATGTCTTTACTGCACCCAGAGATAGAAGGTCACAATTCTCTGACACTGATCAGACCCAGGATTTCAGCATTAGGATCATTCTAGCACCTTCAAGGCTACCAGACATTCTTTTGGAAAAGGAATGGATTGTTTAATCTCAAGAATAAAAATAAGGCACACGAGAGCATGACATCCATAATCATAACAATCTCATTCACAGAGTTGCAAAAGTCTAGATTATTCTGCTTAACATAGCCTCTAGAACTAGAAGTAGACAGGCTACTATGAAAACAACCCACTGCTTTAACATTTGCATCTCCTCTGACCACAAAAGTTCTTCAGTTCAATTTAATTTATACTCTTATAACCATGTGTGGTCAAAAGCAGAAACCCAGAAGCAGAAACCTGTATTCTCCTCCAGGTACCAACAGACAGGACTACCTGAAACTACAATTTCCAGCTATATACCAGCAACATTTGTCCCAACTGACACACTAAAATCCAAAAGTAAACAAATGAAACCTAATATGCAAAATACTGCCTATTAAGACAGCCTCCCCCTATTTGCAACAACACCCAACCATTTTGTTTGCTGTTCTCAATTTGCCTCAGCATTCTATTGTCTGAAGAAACATGCATAAGCGGACTTGCCAAATTTTTAAAGATTCAAGAGCAATGAACAAAAATGAACTTTTGAAAGCTGGATACAGTGGTCTGTAAACACATTCACACTTCTTTTCTAATTATGGCCTGATGCAAAGGCAGCATCTGGATAAGAACATCTTTGCATATTTCAAAAAAAATCAGGATGCCTACACATTTGGCAGTGTATTGAAAGCTCTGAGGTTCAGACAGGACTATAAGCTGAGAAATACTTCAAATGGTGGTTTGGGGACTTCAATGCTAAAATTAAGGATTGGAACGATGCTTCAGTAAATGGTATTGTTCACATGTCATGAACATACAATGCTGATATCCCAACAGCTATCTGACAAATGTCACAAAAAGAAATGGAGATGGATGTCTGCAGTGCTACTGTCTAGCTGTGGTGACTAAGTACTGGCATTTTGGAAGCTGCCTAGACCTTACATTTGCAGAGATTTAACAGGTATTACATAGGTAAGCATATGAAAATGCCACTATCCAAATACTAATGCTTCAGAACATCTTTGCTGTGTGGAGTCAAATCTTTGCAGAAACAATACCAAATAAGAGAAAGTTTCACAGCAAGAATTTTAAGTCATTATGAATATTACACAGTTCAAGCTATGCCACAGCCTGATGTTTCAAGCCCCCTCCCCCCCCTCCAAAATAAAAAATACTTGAATCAACTGTAGTGGTGTTTTGTACTAGTCAGTTACAAATATAACTATAGATGCATTTCCTAATGTAAGTAGAATTCAGTGATTAGAATAGCTGGCAAACGATGAAAGAAGTCTAAGTAAAACTGTACAACAAAACTAGCTCACAGTAAAATGACTTAATCCTTTGCAGATCAAATGCAAGTTCATCTTTCTCAACATTGTCTACTCTTAACCAACCTATCCATCACACATACACCAAAAAACCTCTCACCCTCTCAGGCACTACTACAGTGCGATGGCAACATTTCAAATCAACTTAAATTAGGCTGTACTACATTCCATTACATGATATCATGCAACAGATGTTACTCTAAGAAAACACAGGACAATTATTCAGGGTAAACGTCTATAATTTGAATGGTAAAATGAATGGGTGTCCTATATGAAATTGCTATAATCTTTATCAAGTTTTATACTGAGATTAAGCATTTAAAATATTGCCCACATTTGTCACAACCCAAAGGCTTAGATTGGCAACCAGAAACAAAAAGTATTCTTGTTTTACTTGAACTCAACAATTTTGCCACCAACAGATAAGCTAGATGAAAATTCCACTTAACCCTTTAGTTCTGCAGGGACCAGTGAGTTAAACGAGGCATTGTAAAACTCACACAAAATGCACTTCCCAGAGGCAAGAGATTTCCCCCCCGCCCCCCTTCCCCAGCAGTGTGGTAACCTCCGATCTCAAGGTACCGCCTCGAAAATTTCATGTATTGAGAATTCAAGCAGAAGAGGTAGTTCAGCCAATTTAATTCATAGTAAACTGAGTTAACAACTGTACTGTTGGAAGAAGGGTGACCATTATCTTAAACAGATATGAAAGTTTTTCATATACCACAATTTGCAAGGTTTTATAACACTGGCAGCTTGCACTTGTACTTGCAACACACTGCCATTCACATATGAGTAAGTGATGTTTTACATAAGCAAGAGAAATCTCAGAAACGTGTTGCTTGCTTGCTTTTTAATCGTATGGACATTTTTCCACAGCTACCGGGCTCTCTTGATGATGCAGAACTCCTGATGTCTTTAAATAACATACTTTCAAATTCAGAACTGGCTTTCTGGTTTGAAACTTAATATGGCTCAAACTTGGCTCTAAAATACAGGTCTGCAAAATAAACTTTTAAAAGATTTGGAGGAAAGGGGGCAATTGTTTAATCTGACACAGTTATTTCAATCAGTGAACATTTCCATGATCTTTCTAACGAGATACCGCAGCAGCATTTTAACACACAAAAAGTAGAGCCTAAAGAAATCGAAGTGGCTGGTCAGCAGAACAAAAGCGCTACAGAAGGTGAGCACAAAGACAGCAGAGGCCCCAGCTCCCAGACAGGTGTTCCCACGCAGTGCCCGGGCAGTGGCACTGTGTCGGCGCCCTCTAGTCGCCCCAAGAGAAGACTGTGCCCTGCACCCCACAGCCATCTCCTAGGGTGGCATGGAAGAAAGAGAGGTGCCAGGACACGCAGGGGAACCCCAGCACACAGCACGGATAGGCCCTCCGCAAACACCCACTACCGGCTTGCACCAACGGTGGTTTTGCGCTTTGCTCGGTGGAGGGCACGAAGCCCTGCTGCACCGGGACAGGTAACCCAGAACCGCTGGCACGCTCCCAGGCTGGCCCCGGCAATGGGGAGGCGGCGGAGAAGCGCGGCTCACCCACCCGCCCATCCATCCATCCATCCATCCATCCATCCATCCATCCCCGTCTGCGCTGCGCAGGGGCGGACGCGTACTTCCCTCCCCTCGGTGTGGCCCTACGGGACCGGCCTGCGACCCGCTTCCAACCCTAGCCGTCCCACGGGTCTGGTGGGAAAAGGCGGACATATGCACAGATAGATGGATACAAATACACGCGTACACATACGCGGCACGATCGTCCTTGGGAGGTCGTCGCTTCGCAACGCGTTGCGAAAAGGGTTTTTTCTATATCGCGGTCGCCAGTAGCGCCCAACAGCGAACAGTTCCGTCCCTCGGGCAAACCCACCCCCCGACCCAGCCACGCCAAGTTCCCCCAGACTGCCTGCGAGGGGCCGGGAGGAGCCGGCCGGCCCATCGCCTCCCTCCCATACCAACCCTATACGGCGCGGGGGGGGAATCCCAAGGGACCGCGGTTTCCCTCCCACCCCGGCTCGGCCCCTGACGAAGGGAAGGTGAGCGGGGCCGCTCTGCACCTCCCGGGGCCACGGCACCGGGCCGGGCTATTGCTGCCCCCCCTGGAACCGGCAACTTGTTGGGCGGGCAGCGCTCCGCACGGGCCAGGT